CTTGAATATTTTATTGTATGTATATACCACATTTTATTTATAATTCATAAGTTGATGGACATTTGGGCTGTTTTCATTCATTATTATCAATAATGCTGCTGTGAACGCTCATGAACAAATTTTTTTTTTTGAACACTTGTTTCAGCTTTCTTTGGAATTGCCAGGTTATATGGTTACTCTTTTTTGAGTTTATCTTTGATGATTTTTCAATTTACATTTCCACCAGTGTTTGAGGATTCTAATTTGTCCAAATTCTCATCAATAATAATTATTGTATATCTTTTTGATTCTACCCATCCTTGTGGTGTGAAGTGATAGGTATCTCATTGTGGTTTTAATTAGCATTTCCCTAATGGCTAATGATGTTGGACATATTTTCATGTGCTTATTGACTATTTGTATATATTCTTTGGAGAAATGTCTTTTCACATCCTTTGCCCATTTGTTAATTGGATTATTCAGTTTTTTCTTACTGAGTTTTAGGTGTTTTTAATATAATCCAGATATAAGTACTTTATTTTTTTTTAAGATTTTTAAAATTTATTTGACAGAGAGAGAGACAGTGAGAGAGGGAACACAAGCAGGGGGAGTGGGAGAGGGAGAAGCAGGCCTCCCGTGGAGCAGGGAGCCCGATGCGGGACTCGATCCCAGGACCCTGGGATCATGACCTGAGCCGAAGGCAGATGCTTAACAACTGAGCCACCCAGGCACTCCTCAGATATAAGTACTTTATGAGATATGATTTACAAATGTTAGCTGTTGGATTTTTTAGAGATAAACTGTATCAGGTTGAGAAAATTCCTTTCAATTTCCAGTTGCTGAGAGTTCTTATCAGCAATGGATGTTGACTATTGTCAAATGCTTTTTCTACAGCTAATGAGATGATAACATCCTTTTTCTTTCAAAATATTGTGACTTACCTTGGTTGATTTTCAGATATTAAGTCAAACCTGGATTCTTGGGATAAACCTTGGTCATTATAGATTTTGTTGTTTTTATATTGTTGAATTCAGTTTGCTAAAATTTTGGTTAGACTTTTTACATCTATGTTCATGGGGATACTGGTCTTTAGTTTTCCTTTATTTTAATATCTTTGCCTGACTTGTAGTGTCAAGGTAATGTTGACCTCATGGAATAGCTCAGGAAGTATTCCCTGCTCTTCACTTTTCCTGAAGATTTTGTGTAGAATTGATATTATTTCCTTTTAAAATATTTAGTCAAATTCTTTAGTGAATCCATCTGGGCCAAGGGTTTTCGTTGTTGGAAGGTTTTTAACTACAATTTTAATTTCTTTAATAGATACAGGGCTGTTCTGGTTTTCTCTTTCTTCTTGCACGAGTTTTGGTATACTGTCTTTCAAAGATTTTGTCTATTTTTCTGAGCTTAGCAGGGAGCCTGATGTGGGGCTCGATCCCAGGACCCCGGGATCATGACCTGAGCCGAAGGCAGACGCTTAACTGACTGAACCACCCAGGTGCCCCATCTTCTTCTTATAAAGTTGTTTATAATGTCCCCTTATTATCAACTTAGTATTTGTAGAATCTCTTGTGATGTTACTTCTTTTATTCCCGATATTGGTAAATTGTGTATTTTCTCTTTTTTCTTCTGATTAACCTAGCTCTAGAGGTTTATGAATTTTTAGAAATTTTCTCAGTGAGCTAATGTTTTGTTTCACCGATATTTTTTCTGTTTTTTTCTGGGTTTTATTTTATTGTTTTCCTCTCTCAACTTCATATGTTCTTTCTTTCTGCTTGCCATTGGTTTAATTTGTTCTTTTTCTATCCTCTAAGGTGGAAGCTGAGTTCATTGATTTGAAACACTTTCTTTTCTAACATTTCAGTGGTTATTTGAATAAATAAGCAAAACATTAGGAGGGCAACAAATGTTGTTGCGAAAATGGAGATAAGAAGATAGCTTTTGAGAATGTTTCTGATAAATGGGATATTACCAGTAGTATTTGGTGAATGGTTTATGGGAATTAGGAAGAAAGAAAAGATTATTATGATTTCCAGGTTTATGTTGAGAGAGACTGAATAGTGTATTATTCACTGAGGTATAGAATGTAAAAGGACAAGTTAATTTAGTGTTGGAATAATTCTGCTGTGGACACATTGATTTTGATGTTTGTTGAACATCCATTTGGCTATATCAAGTTCATATTTGTATCCAGAGCTCAGTAGAGAGATCATGGCAGGAAATAAAGATTTGAAAGTAATCAGGATAGAAGATATAGTTGTTACTATTTGGGAATAGGAGCCCAGTCTTGCCAAGGCTTCCCATGTTTCAAGAAACAGTGGATTTAGGGGCTCCTGGGTGGCTCAGTTGGTTAAGCATCTGCCTTCGGTTCAGGTCATGATCTCAGGGGAGTCCTGCATTGGGCTCCTGGCTCAGTGGGGAGCCTGCTTCTCCCTCTCCCTCTGCCTTTTGCTCCCCCTGCTTGTGCTTGCTTGCTCTCACTCTCAAATAAATAAATAAAATCTTTTAAAAAAAAACAGTGGATTAAAAAAATATATAATGTTTTGGGACTCCTGGGTGGCTCAGTCAGTTAAACATCCAACTCTTGATTCAGCTCGGGTCATGATTTCAGTCCTGAAATTGAGTCCTGCATGGGGCTTCCCATTCAGCGGGGAGTCTGCTTGGGATTCTTTCTCTCTCTCTCTCCCCCTGCCTCCCCACTCTCTCAAATAAATAAAGAAAATCTTTAAAAAATGTAATGTTTCTAGATTTGTAAAATACTGTGCTAACCAAGTGTAATACAATTATAAACCAGATGGGTCCTGTAGATGATCTGTTCGCTATTTACTCTATCCATTACTAGCTTATTTTCCTGAGATGAATGGGTGTCCCAACTGAAGCAGTGAACTGCACTGTTTCTTCAGAAATAGCTACCAATTTTATTTGATGATATGCACATGCATGCAACTCTTTAGTTAACCCTTGCGGTTTTGATAAAGTTTTGAATATACCAAAGAGAGGATATAGTCTAAAAGAGAAGAGGTGAAGACAGAACCCTTGAAAACATTAAGAATGTTAGAAAAAAAAATGTTAGAAGAGGGGCGCCTGGCTGGCTCCTTCAGTAGAGCATGTGGCACTTGATCTTGGGGCTGTGAGTTTGAGCCCCACGTTGGGAGTAGAGATTACTTACAAAAAAGAACAAAAAAGAAAGAATATTAGAGTAGAATCAGTGAAGGCTAATGAAAACCTAATGCAAAGTTGCTTCTAAACCTTCTTTCTTATAGAATTGTGAAGATCAAATAACACATGATGTGCTTATAAGAGTAGGTAGTTGTTACTTAGCAAATTCTACATCACTGGAACTAAGAAGCAACAAAACACCACTAGCAGCTGGAGGGAAGTAACCTTAAGATAAAAAAAAGTACTGAATCTCTTCATATATCAGAGATCATGGAACATCAGAACTAGTAGAATGAATGCATCAGAGCAGCCAATTTTGTACAGGACTGAAGAGTTTACAAAGCACTTCTACCACCAGACTATTCACTTTATTTCTCACACAGTCCTGTCTTCAGGATAAAGAAACTGAGTCTCAGGGAATTTTATTACCTTTAGTACTTCATATCTCATGGCCCTTAGATGTCCTGGCTGGAAATGCAGTGCTCTTTCTACTCCAACAGAAGAGCTTAGGGAACATCTAGCATGACTGTCTCACTTTAAAATATTTGCTTATTATGCGGGTCAGATCAGCCTCAGATCAAAACACAGCCGTAAAATAGAATCCCATACCATTAAAATCTATTGAAACAGCCATTTTAGAAGTAGAATTTACACAATGAGATATCATTTCACATCTGTTAGAATGGCTATCACCAAAAAGACAAAATGTTGGTGAGGATGTTGAGAAAAGGGAACCTTCATATCCTGTTGGTGGGAATGTAAATTGGTATAACCTTTATGGAAAACCATATGCAGGGTCCTCAAAAAATTAAAAATAGAAATACCATAAAGACCCAGCAATTCTACTTCTGAGTGTTTATCCAAAGAAAACAAAAATACCAATTCAAAGAGATATATGCATCCCTGTGGTCATTGTGGCTTTATTTACAATAGCCAGGATATTGAAGCAACCTAAGTGTCCATCAACTGATAAATGGATACAGACGTGGTATATATATACAATGGAATACTACTCAGCTATAAAAAGAATGAAATCTTGCCATTTGTGACATGGATGGACCTTGAGGATATTAGATATTATGATAAGTAAATTATGTCAGACAGAGAAAAACAAATCCTGTATGTTTTCACTTACATGTGGAGTCTAAAAAAACCAAATGAACAAACAAAACAAAATGTACTTTATAGATACAGAGAATAAAATGGTGTTTGCCAGAGGAGAGTAGGTGAAATCAGGTGATGGGGGCTCAAGAGGTATAAACTTTCAGTTATAAAATAAATAAGTCATGGGGGTAATGTACCACATAGTGACTATAGTCAGTAATATTGTAGAATATACTTAGAGTTGCCAAGAGAGTAAATCCTAAAAGTTAACTTTATATGGTGATGGATGGATGGTACTAGACTTATTGTGGTGATTATTTTGTATTATATTGTATACATATTTCAAATCATTATGTTTTACACCTGAAACTAATATAATGTTATATGTGAATTACCTCAATAAGAGAATTAAAAAATTAGAATTTAATTTAATTAGTATGATATACTTTTTACTTGACGTTTTACAGGATATGATTTTTTTTTTTTTTTTAAAGATTTATTTATTTATTTGACAGAGAGAGAAACAGCATGAGAGGGGATAGGGCCAGAGGGAGAAGCAGGCTTCCTGCTGAGCCGGGAGCCCGATGTGGGACTCGATCCCAGGACTCCGGGATCATGACCTGGGCCGAAGGCAGTCGCTTAACCAACTGAGCCACCCAGGCGCCCTACAGGATATGTTTTAAAAATCCAGTTCTGACTTGTTTAGGCTTTACTGCACCATAAAAAACAAATGTTTTGATATCATTTATTTTGTTTTTCAGGAAAGACTCTGTTTGCCTCATCATATTTTGGAAGAGAGAGGTCTTGTGAAAGTCGGTGTCACAGTTCAGGCTCTTCTTGAATTACCTACAACCAAGGCATCTCAGCTTTCTACAGCTTGATGTAACATTTCAAAATTATAAGTGTATAGTTGCATTTATTTGAAGTGATTTCAGATATCTCAAATTCATGATAAGAAAGTCTAATCAAAGATAATTTTATTAGGTCAAGCCTTAGGTTTAAAAAAATCGTGTTAAAACATCAAAATTAAATTTGAATTGCCCAAACTTCTTTTGGGGGAAAACTGGATTAACTTAATGAGAGTTTTTGATAAATTCAAATTCTCTTTTTATTAAGTCAGTTGATAACCTTGATTATTTTTCAAAAACCAGATTGATACTAAATTTAAAATGTGGTTTCAATTTAATAATCACATTAGGTTAATTTTTTTATATCATAGCATACTAGTAAACACCTGGATGAGGTAATCATTTTTTTACCGATTTAAAACTATTCTATATTTGAGTTATTTAATACACTTCTAATTCTAGTTTATACACAGTTTCTTCAATCTTTGGTCTTAGTTTTCTAGAAAAAAATGAGTAGAAAATGCAGAACTCTGGCTTTATATTAAATTCTTTTAGTATTATAGGTTGGTGCCAAAATATTTTCAGTTGTACTGTAGATTGTTTACATGTGAAGTGCCTGTGTAATTGATGACTCTTATATAGTCTTAAGCATTTTTGCAATTTCTTTTTATGTATTAATGGAATCAGTGGAACTTTAAAATATTTTAGTAGATTTTGTAAGGTCAGTAATATGTGAGGATTTAAATGTGCCTCACATTGTGACATCTGTGGTTTTTTATTTAGTCCATTGCAGCTTTCCTAAAATTGGTTATGTCATGTTGTCAAAAAAAAAAAAACCCCAATGTTAATATGCTTAATTTATGCTATTTAATTTTGCAAAACTTAATCATCTTTTAAAATGTATTATTTGAAGAGTATTTTATTTCTGTATTGAAAATGTTACACAAAGCAGTAAGGTTTTTGAGAAGTAGCAAAGTACTAATTATCAAGGACATTTTGATAAAACTGCCAAAGTTTGGGTTTATGTCTTGACTTTCAGTAACATTATGTCAGTATGCTGCCATTAGTTTTATTCAGATTCAGAGAGCAGCAGTTGAAGAATAGGTTTTTATTTGAAATCTGGCCATTTGTGGATCCTGTAAATCTTATGATCCTCAATTAACAAGATGTTGAATTAAACACAGACCATTCTATATATATTTTCATAAGTATACTATGTTACAAAGTCCTTGTTTAATTTGGAGATAGATAAATTTATGTTGGTAGTAGTGCAGGAATTTTTCAAAAACATTACTGTAATGAATACTCAGTTTGGTATAGAAGAACCTTAGTATAATTACTTTTGTAGTAGCCAAGCAAGTACCATATCTTAAATATGTGATTATTTGCACTTGTTACCTCTTAATATGGATGCAACTTATTAAAAGTGTTGACCTGGGTATTTCAAAGGGTATATATAAAAGGTAAAAACTAGTGTGCCAAATGGTATATAAGGGTTGGTTTAGGAACAACTCAACTTTTTTTGATCAGTTGGCATGTAGCCATATAATTAAATTTTGACATTAGAATACAGATGTGTTCTTTATATTCCCCGAGTGTGAAATTGGAGCTTTTAAAGAATTAAAGCTCTTATGACTATAAGGTTTAAAAATTAAATTATTAGTAATTTATTACTTTAAATATTTGAGCTAATTAGTTACTATTTTTCAGTTGGATCTAAAAAAAAACCTTCATTGGCATAATCAGTCTCCCTAGTGAAAACTTGGGTAATAAAGGTAAGAAATAGCAAATAAATATCTTAAGTTGTTAGTTTTTATTGTAGAAATTTGACAATGTTACAAATAAAGTGACCAGTAAAAGCTACAGCAATCATTCATACTGCTTTTATATTTATCATGCTGTAGGAGTCCTGTTATTAATCAACCTAGATGTTATTTTACAAGTATTTTCCTGTTTCATATCATTGAAATATTAGTGAAATTATAGGCCATTTCCTTATTGCATTTCACTTACTTGTCAGTTATTACCTTAAAGGGAAAATACACCAGAACTTTACTGTAACATTCTTTACTGCAAAGCAAAATTCCATTTAAGATGGGTCCATATGAGGTCTATATCATGTCTGTTTATTTACTGTACTGCCAGAAAGCAACACCACCTCTAAGTCAGTTTTTCACATAGTCCCCAAAGACACATTTTACCAAGGCTCTGATGTATTTCTTTTATTAGTTTTTAAATAAGTGTAGATTTTATTCTAAATGGTTCTTATGGTTATTTTATATTTACTTCATCAATTATTGAATTAAGAATGATTATAATTTTTTGAATTGGATTTGTGATTTGAAGAGGGTTAAATAATCAAACAAATATTTTATTAGGCCCTAAAAATGTAGTAGATAGCTACTTCTGCTAAATTTTATTACTGTATGGCACAAGAAAGAAGTGATGTTGGATATGTTAGAATTGAGATAAGGAGTAAAAATGCATTACCATTTGTTTAATAATTATCTCTACAGAATGCTAGTTTATTGACTTTTCTAAGTGAATTTTTTGAAGAATTCAGAAATCTTTGTATTGGTCACAGATCTATCATAATTGATTTTCTGATGCATTTAAAAATAAATGGAACACTTAATGTATATTACCGATGCAAACTGTGGATAAAGTTGAATGAAAAAAATTAAAGTCTGAGATTTTTTTTCTCCCTCTCTACCTCTTCTCTCAACATCACAGCATCCATCTTTTCTAGGTATTTGGTAGCTTGTGTCTATATTCTCTACTATGGAAAAATAGACTTGAAGAGGATATTCCACGTAAGTTGTTTAAGAGTCCAGATTCTCTTTACATCGTGTTATTTTCAGTAGATAATGTTTTCTTTAAAACACAATTTCCTAAGATATCTTCACAAAATAAATCATCTTTATATAAGTTAAACTATATATATATACGTGTCAGATAAACCTTTACATTAAAATAAAAGAGAGGATAGGTCAAATTTTGATTATTTGTATTGTAGATTTTAGTGTTAGGTATATGATTGAATTAACCTTAAGCAATTTGATTAAAAAATAATCTTTCATTTTCAAGTAATTCTAGTTTTTAAAAATTCCACATATTTTTATTAAAATGACTGTCATTTATTCATAATTGTTGCCCATCCTAAAAGTGGAAGATTATTCAGGTAAATAATATTAAAGATTATATTGCCCCTGTTTTATAGTTACTCACCCTAAAGCCTCAGATTTAAAGAAGTACTTAAGTAAGTAAATACTAGGCATAAGTTGTTTGAAAAGTACTCTAGGTTTATCATAGGATTTTGAATTGTCTTTATTTGCTTTAGTAAATTTTGACGTTGTACATGGAATGGTTCTAGGTTTCTCAGGAACCTATCAGCATCCAGAGTGCTCTGAGAGACTGGGTTCCCTTTGATATGTTACTGTATATTGAATTAATTTGGAAATGCCTAGATATCTTTGTTCCTTAAGGCATAATCTCTTCTATTTCTGCATTTTAAAACGTGACAAAAATCCCTATGTTTATGGTGTTTAAATAGCTTAGAATTTCCACAGTGTGTGTTTGTGTTTTATGCAAGGCTCCAGATGTTTTAGCAGTTAGGGTCTTACTACATTGAAAAATCAGAGTTTTTAGAAGTTATGAGAATTCTGACGTCAGTAGTTTAGGATGGGAAGTTGCTGATTGAGTCATTTAAAAGTTATCATAATTTGTAAAAAGAAGATTCTTTAAAATGATCTTTAAAAAATTTGAAGAAATTACTGTGAACTATTTTCTTTGATTCTCAAATATATAATTTTTATTACCCTGCCACTTTAAGATTAGGAAAAATTAATTCATTTTTACTGTATGCCATTAATATTCATCAAGTGTCTACCTAAATAAGTGAGATATATATTAGGTGTGTTCATATGCAAACGTATAAATAGAAATAGATTTTTCAGATGGCAAATTGAATTTTCTAGAACTTTGTTCAGGTATCTCAGTAACTTATAATGCAAAGAAATAAAAAGTAATGCTATATCATTTATGAAGTTATAATTAAAATTATGCTGTAAGACAGTGATTCTTACACTCTGATATGCATATGAATCACCTAGTGACCTTATTGGCCAAATAACAATTGATTCAACAGTTCAAGGATGGGCTTTGAGATTCTGCATTTCTAAGAAGCTCCCAAGTGATGCTGATCCTGCTGCTCCAGTGACCAGTTTTAGTAATAAGGCTTTGTGGTTGTTCAAGCTTTATATTAATATCAGTTTATTATACAATAGTAGTTCAATATTTTAAGTGATGTTTCAAGGTCATTATAACAGGTACTTAACATTTTTTAATAGGTCTCTCTTCTGAATTGTGTTCTACTTCATTAAGGACTTAGATTTTCTTTTATGGCTTTAATTATTTTTTAAGTTATTATTTTAGTTCCAGTTAACATATGGTGTTATATTAGTTTCAGGTGTACAATATATTGATTCAACAATTCTATACATCACCTGGTACTTATCATGACAACTGCACTCCTTAATTCCCATCGCCTATTTGATCCATTTCCCCAAACCCCCCCTTCTTTTATGGTTTTAAAAGATGTGCTTTATGCTCTGATTAATATTATTTCATATTTTTATTTTCTTTCAAAAATCTATTTTAAACACACATGACCATGTAATTTTTATTATTTTTTAAAGATTTTATTTATTTATTTGACAGAGAGACAGGGAACACAAGCAAGGGGAGTGGGAGAGGGAGAAGCAGACTTCCCGCTGAGCAGGGAGCCTGATGCCGGGCTCGATCCCAGGGATCACGACCAGAGCTGAAGGTAGACGCTTAACGACTGAGCCACCCAGGCACCCCGACCATGTAATTTTAAAGTAAATTAGTCACATGAATAATAAGACATGTATTTATAAAATCCAAACAAGTTAATATAATGTTAAATTAGCAAATACTAATGCATAACACCTTCCTTTTTTGGAATGCTAAGAAAACTACACCAATTTTTCATGGTCTTGATGTTAGTCCATTCTCTTCTTGCTAGGCAGCAACTCCCCTTTTGGTTTTAAGCTCATAGCATACTCATTCTTTCAGGCTACCATGATGAATGTAAAATTTGAGCCATATACAACACATATTTAATTTTAAATATTTATGATTTTTTATCAGAGTTGAAATTTTCAATTACAGATTATATTGTCTCCCAACAAATGGGTAAAGGTATTTATTTCATTCTTTTTTTATGGTAAATTGTACTGACTTAACACGACTTAAAACATTTGGACTCATTTATTTTAATGCCTTCCAAAGCATGTGGTATCCTCCGTTAAAAAACAAATTAAAAGCCGAGTTAGCCTGAATTACCAAGGGCAGCTGAATATCTTCTGTGGGAAGATGACTCATTTACTCTGAAGAAAATATGGGAAAGTTAATAATTAAATATAAAGAAGGGAGGCAGAGCAGAATCATGTTAAGCATTGAACTAGATGCTTTTTTATAATTGAATTATAAATAATGCAATTTATATATTTTTATTTATGTTTATCTCTTTCATAATCTTTAAAATTTAAGGTTAGTATTAGTAGAAATTAGTATAATGCTATAACCCAAATTATAAAATTGCACTTAATTGTATATTATCATGCTCATTAGTGAAGAAACATGTATGAAATATACATTTTTTACAAAATGTACAAATATACCAAATGTACAAATGTACCAATATACAAAATATTGTTATAATTTCTTGTTATTTTGTACCACCAAAATTTCCAGGGTTTTTTATGTATAAGGAATAGTTAATGATATACTCTTAGGTATAATCATAAAACATTTAATACCATAAAAGGTTTTAGAATTTGTGCACTGCTGCTCTTCCATTCTTCAGACTAGGAAGCTGTGGCCTAGAATTATAGGATAGAGAGGCCAAAAATAAATCCATACCTATATGGTCAACTAATCTGTGACCAAGGAGAAAGTACAATGAGGAAAAGACCGTCTTTTCAATTAATAAAAAAAACCCCTCAAAATGGATTAAAGACCTAAATGTGTGAGACCTAGAACTGTAAAACTCTGAAAAGAAGAAATAGTAATTTCTCGGACATTGGTCTTAGCAACATCATTTATGAGTGTGCCTCCTCAGGCAAGGAAAACAAAAGCAAAAATAAACTGTTGGGACAACACCATTAAAAAAGCCTTTTCCACATTGAAGGAAATCATAAAACAAAAAAGAAACTTAGTGAGTGGAGAAGATATTTGCAAATGATATGTTCAATAAGGGGTTAATATCCAAAATCTATGTAGAAATTACAAAACTAAACTCAACACTAAAAAACCCGACAATCCAGTTAACAGATAGCAGAGGTTGATAAGTTCTTTATAGATTTTCCATGCTAACCCTATATCAGATATGTCATTTGCAAATATCTTCTTCCATTCTGATAATTGCTTATTAGTTTTGTTGATTGTTTCCTTCACTGTGCAGAAGCTTGTTATCTTGATGGAGTCCTAATAGTTCATTTTTGCTTTTGTTTCCATTGCCTCAGGAGATCTGTCTAGTAAGAAGTTGCTATGGCCAATGTCAAAGAGGTTACTGCCTGTGTTCTCCTCTTGGATTTTGATGGTTTCCTGTCTCACATGTAGGTTTTTAATCCATTTTGAATTTCTTTTTGTGTACCATGTAAGAAAGTGGTCCAGTTTCATTCTTCTGCATGTGGCTGTCCAGGTTTCCCAACAGCATTTGTTGAAGAGACTGTCTTTTTTCCGTTGGATATTCTTTCCTCCTGCAAAGTCTATAAAGAATTTATCAAACTCAACACCCAAAAAACAAATACTCCTGTTAAGAAATGGGCAGAAGGCATGATTAGACATTTTTCC